TTAATCTACTCAAACAGTTAAGAGAAGGATATCGCCTCTGTTTTCAAGATGGGAAGGCTAAGGTCGACCTTCACCAAAGCCCCACAGCCACCAAGTGGAGGGACTGTGGGCTCTCGGGATCAGCCCTCACATACTCCTGACCCCAAAACTCATGCTTTCCTTTCCCTCGTGATATCATGTTTTCTTCAAATTAAAAAAAAAGAAGGTAAACAGTAGAATTAGTAATAAAAGTGTAGTAAAATTTACAATTTCTGTTCCTTTTTCAGTGTTATCTATTATTTGTATATTTATTCTCCGAGTAGAAGAAAGAAAACACATTTATCTGTGTTTATCACTTTAGAAAGGTGGAATTTTTGAAACACAAAGGAAATATTGTTTAAATCTTGGGTATATAGGGAATGAGAATGCCTCTTATTCTTGATGGTGATTATAGATCATTATGTCTCATTAAACATAATATTTATTTTATCATTCATATTGTTCCAAGGGACCACTCTGAACTACTGATGTCTAGCTCTTGTTAGGTGTCGTTTTCCCCACTGGATCACGTGTCAGTTTAACATTTGCAAACTATTTTTTAAATAAAATTAGTTTTAATTCACTTTTTAAATATGCACATGCTACTCCTCTATTTTGGGGTGAGTTATGATTTAATTGAGGTTCTATTAAGAAACAAATGTGTTGGAATATTTCACCTGAAGAATGAAGACATATAGAGGGATACAGTACTTACAGGGCTATTTGGGGGAGATGTTTACTTGCTGTACGTGCATGCAAACTGGGGCTAATGAATTTGTAAAAGACGTAGAAGGGCAGGCTTCTGTTCATCACAAGTGAGACGGAATAGCTAAAATTAGCAGAAATTTCCAGATATGGAAAGAGTTTCTTGATGCAGTACTAAGGAATTGTGGTGAATAAAAGAGAAGAACAGCATGTTCACAACTTTTGTATTCTTCCTGTATTCTAGTCATATTCTGAACCCTTTACAGATAGTATCTGTTGCATGCTGACAGCTGCTCTTTGCAGAAAGAATACTCTGCTCATGTTATACAAGAGGAATCTGAGTCAAGTTATAAATTCAAGGTCATTCAGATACTAAATAGAAGACAGCATTTGAACCCAAATCTGTTTTGGCACTAGTAGTTGGCACACTTACCTCTAAACTGTCATAATGAATTCTAATTTTTCTCTTGTTGCCGTACCTCATAATCTAATGACAGAATCCACTCTAGGGGTCTGATTATCTCTTCTCCCCAACAACATATAGTTTTGCAGTTAATGGTAGATACCTGCAGTAATGGGAAAATCCACTACTATGCAAAGAGAGACATAGTGAAGATGAGACTCGTCACATATGCAAAGTCTTTCTCGCATCTCCAGAAGGCAAAACTCATGTCCAGTATACTGTTTGAACCAATTATTTTAAATTTAATATGATATAACACTGAATTGGAGAAAATAGTTGAAAATATTTTTTTAAATAGGCAGTTCAACTCCTGTATAGAAGCTAGAAAACACTGAATGCAGTGAGGCTGAACTTGGCTATTCAGATGTATTTTCTAAATGGAATTATCTGAGATTATCAAATCATACATAATATCATTTAGGTTATACTATTAAAGTCATGAGCTTACTAATTACTTAAGAAAATTGAATTACAGATAAATATGTTTTAAACGTGGGCCAAACATAGAATGAGTTGTAATCACCCATGTCATTATGATTTTTTCTTAAGTGAAAATTTTCAAACGTGCTCACATAGACTTGTACAGTCAAAGCCCGTGCACAGAAATGTAACCATGTATCCTATAGAAAACCATACAACCGTTACTGATGTTCGTGCTTACAGTTAGGCTACACAATGAAGTTTGCTGATTTTTGTACTTTATTTACCCTCACAGTAGATTCTAAAAATGGATGTCATTTTTTTTTACTAACAATATACGTTGAATAGGATTAACCTCTCTTTTTCATTTTTAGAGATTTTTCTATTTGACTTTATTTTTACAGATAGAAACTTTTTTTTTTTAATGTTTCCAGGTTTAAACACTATAGCCAGGTTTATTTGGAGTAGTTTTTCTTTGAAAGGGCTTTCCTCCATCCTCTTACCTCATTTTTCTTTTAGTTAAATGTTCATATAAGTCTTTAATTAAATCTTTCCAGTGTTTTTTATTTTGTTTGTTTTCACAAATTAGATGTAGATATAGATAAATAGCTATATTTGTATCTTCTTTCTTATTGAAAAAAGTACCACTTGTAAACATAGTTTTATTTCCTTTGCTTCGATCATACTGGTGTGTAGAAACCATCCTCACTTTTTTATGGCTGCACAGTATTCTACTGTATGGATATAACATAGTTCATTCCTACTGATGAGGTATTTGTATTGTTCCAAATACTAACAGTATAGCCACCATGAGGAACCTTTTGCATATTTTAGCCAGTGTTCCTTTGGGATAGATTCTTAAAAGTAGGATTGCTGAGTCACTCACTACTCTTGCCCACTTTATAGTTCTATCATTTTGCATTATCATCATCAACATATCAGAAGGCCTGTTTCTGTCCAGCTTGCCAGCAGTTTTGCCAAAGTTGTCAAACTTTTGGAATTTGGCAAATTCCATAATTGTGATACAGCAGTATACTTTTAATTTTTACTTCTCATTATTGTAACCTACCTATATATCTTCTGTAGTTTCTGCTCTGTGAAAAGTGTCACCATTAAAACAACTCTGCAAGTGTTAGTCTTTAGCTCTCTATAGTATTTTTCTTTTTCTCATCTAATAAGTTTTGGTCTGAATCCTCTAATACCTGATACCCCAATTAACTTTGCTTCCTTTTTATTTACATTTACCAAGATGTATTTTCCATTTTATTTTTAACTTATGCCTCCAGATGTCTTAGTCCATCTGGACTGCTAGCAAAATACCACTGAGTATTATAAACAGCAGAAATGTATTGCTCACCGTTCTGGAGGCTGGAAGCCTGACATCAAGGTGCCAGCATAGTCACGTGAGGGCCCTCTTCTGGGTTGCAGACTTCTTGTATTTTCACTTGGCTGAAAGGGCAAAGGATCTCTCTGACCCCTCTTTTAAAAAGGCAGTAATTCCATTGCACCTCCTAAAGCACCTCCTAAAGGTCCCACTTTCTAATCCCCATCATCTTTGGGGGGTTAGGAATTTAATAAGAATATTTGAGAGACACTAGCATCCAGACCATGGCACTCGCATATGCCATGGAACTGCATTATGAGTTCCTAGACTATCATAGCACCATTGTGCTTTGGACGTCGGTGGAGAGAATGTTTGTTTTGCTACTCGCTCACAACTTGGCTCCTGAGTGAATCTTTCTCAGGTTCATTGGTCTTTGCGAGATACATTCACTCTGATAAAGATGAACTGGCGCTTTAAGAGACCTGGTCCAGGAGCTCGGAGGTCTATGCACTGGAACTGGGCTTTCTGTCACTCTGTAGTCCTGGCTTCCTGTTAAACTCTTTGGTTCTCACTTCCGGGATGGGGGGGGGTGTATATATAGCAGCCATCTTAGCCTGCTGCTCACGGGCAGCCTGAAGTGCAGGTTGTCGGGCTGCTGCAGCGGGTTTTGTTTTTCTTTCTCGAATAAATCCCTCTTCTTGGCGGACGACATGGAATATTGTTTGTCCAGTCGACAACTCAAGTTTCCCAATTAGCTGATCCTCTCTTTCTGGAGGTAAATAATTGTTGGGAATTTGTTTGTTTGTTGAGCAATTTACCTACATAGTCTGTTTTCTTATTGCTTTCAGCTGTTTCCACTGAAAGCTGTTTTCACGCGCACACAACCTATTGCTGTTGGTAATTTGACCCACGTGTGTGTGTTTTTGAGGGGTATTATTATGTTCCTTCAGCTATTCTAGTTAGTCTGAGGGATTTCCGGTATGCAGGTTAGGGTCCAAATACAAACCGAGGATGTGATTTTTCAGACATAATATTGTTGACACCTTATCTCTGACATCAGTTGACTTGACCTCTTGCAGAAATGTTTGAGCTTGGGTAGTCACCTCGGCTATGTCATATTAAAATTGGTATTATTTGGAGAAGAAATGCAGACTATTCTGCTAGAAAATCTTATTTGGTATTTTATAAAACTAGCTTTTCAGTTTGTAAGTGGGCACAATGCCATCCGGACAGATGGATTTTTGAAAGGACAACAAGCTTCTTGTTTGACAATTACATGCTAGGTGAATATCCAAGAATACGGAAGTCTGAGGATGGCTAGTCCTTACTGTTAAACTTAAATGACATTGATATATTTTTTTTGGTTAACATTTGAACATTGAAAACTGCAGCTTAGTTGTAATATACTTTAAATGTCACCCTTGAGAATCCATTGTCAGTACCTAAAGCGTCCTTGGATGGTAATGATTTCCATAGAGCTTCTTAACACACAGTATTTTAATATACCATATGTAGGCAACCCCTGAATTTAACATAATTCTTACATAACTATAGATGCATACATATATATATTTTTTCCCTCTGCATTTTGAAGGTTTAATTGAAAACTGGCAATGTTTAGTAATATGCTTAGTCATGTTTCCATTCGTCATGCTGATCTGTGGCAAACATTTTCGCATAAATACACTTTTATATTATGCACCTTTTGTATTATGCACCCCCACATAAGTTCATTTTACATATTTTCTTATCTTAATTTGCTTTGGGGCCACATGAGCATTAGGCAAGCTACACTATATGAGAAAGTTAATAAAATCTACAGAAATTGTTCCACAAAATCTAGCTAGTCAACATTGACTAAATATGTATGTACAACTGTCAATACTCCAAGTACTTTTCTAGGCACATGGGAAATAACTCATGAACAACAAAAAAGTAAAGTCTCTTGCCCGTTTGTTTATCACTTTTTTGTTTCATTATGTTAGTAATTTTTGCTTCTTTCATCAGCAAATCATTGAAAAATTGATTTTAAGTGGAAAAAAGGAATAATGTTAAATGTTATTCGTGCAGGAGAGGAGTCACTCACAATCTTTGTGGACAAGAGGAAGCTGAGCAAGCGATCTGAGGGAAGTGATTCCATCACCAATAGCTCTTCGGTCACCCTGGAGACGCTGCATCAGTTGGCTGCCTCCTATTTTATTGACAGGGATAGCACCCTCCGGAGACTTCATCACATTCAGATCGCATCCACTGCCATAAAGGTACGAATGGGGTACCCCCAACTTATGTCATACCATTATGTTTCCTGTCTCTGAAATCCATTTCTATATATTTGCATATCTATCTCACTGATTTAAATAATTGTGTTCCAAAAATATTTTAACATTTTTCCTTGTGAGTTATGTAATATATTTAAGATGAAATTGTGTGCGTCTTGATGTAATTTTTTTAGCTTGATAATTGGGTCAAAGTTTTTCATGGCCAAATGTTAACTAACATACGGTCAAATTGTGTCAGTGCATCCAGGTAGGTACACAGACGCCCTCACAAAGTGTACATGGCTAAAAATGTTGTTTTAATAACACTAAATTTTTTTTTTGCAAATTTTCATGTTTTAGTTTATGCATTTAAAAACATTATCCTGATGAAGGGCTTTATTAGAGTCAAAGTGGTAAGTGACAGAAAAGTCATTAAGTCCAGCTTTAAGCAGTATTTTTCCCAAATGTTTTTAAAATACAATTAACTACAAGTATTTGGTTATAAGTTTCTAGAAGTGAAGATACACCATAATCTAGAATTAGTGGATAAACTCTATGTTTTCACTAAAATCCCTTGCTTCATAGTATACTAAGGTTGACTTTACCATACTTGAGAGAAAAGGAGAATAATATTCTTTTAATTTAACAGAGACAGCACATGCGCGCGTTTCTGGTTTTCAAAATAATAGACTTTTTGACATGTTTCTCTGGCAGTGTAGGTCAACTATTCTCTGTGTTTGGCCAATGGCCATTGCAAAACTCACAGGCCAAAGAGTCTGCACAGTGTGATAGTGAGGTCCTGGACTAAATTAACAAGCTCAAAATAAAATATAAAGAATGTTTTTTTGTGTTCCGACTTTAAAATCATGTTTGTTTGTTTTCTTGTTTTTTTGTTTGTTTGTTTTTGGTCAGTTAGTAGAAAAATTTGTACTTCAATATGTGGGAACACTAGGTAAAATGAGCCTAAGATATATCTTTTGTGTATGATACACAGGAGAGAATAAAAGCTGATATATTGGGTTGTCGGAAAAGTCATGATGTATTTTTTCTGTTTTTTGTTGCAAAAATGTGTCATGTCTTTTCTGACAACCCAGTAGAAATATCCTTAGCTTAAAAGTAACGCAAATAATACTGTCCTTCAATATTGCCAGTTGATGTGGCTGGGAACAAAAGGTTTCTGTAGATGTCAGTTACACAATTAGAGTTAGTGTACTTCAGACTGGAGTACTTAATGTTGTATTGAGTAATCAGGTAGATAAACAGTATTTATACTGTACAGATAAAAATGTAGCCAGCACAACCGAAGATGTTTTAGTAAATTTCACAGTATTATAAGGTAGGCTATTGTTAGAGATATTTAGCTTGAGGTTGCTGAGGGGAAATAGATTTTTTTCAGCAATCAATTTCAATGATATAAACAAGAACTTAAAGTGCATTTTCTAATAGAAGACATGATTGTTGTAAGTGTGTTTATTATATGACTATTGATTTCTTTGCTCAGCACCAAGTAGAATTATACAATAGAGTTTTCATACACATGCTAAGAAAGATTCATTGACATTTCATGTGAAGACTCAGTGGATATTTGTACTCTCTTCTCCCACGAGAGAGGTTGTATCACAAGAGACAGGTGTCAGTGGTGGGACCTGCAGTATGCAGGCATGGTTCTTAGACCCTGGTGACACTACCAGGAGTGACAAGACTTCGTGAAGCTGATTGTCTGGCCGTGTGGTCGAAATGAGACCCAAAGGAGAGTGACTTTATGAGTGATCGAAGAACAGCTCTGGAGGAGAGAAAGGAGTAGCCTGGACTGTGGGAAGGTCAGGGTTCTCTTGAGGGGGCTACAGGGTATGCCCATCATCCAGTAAGTGGGAAGGGGTTCCAGAGCACATGATGGACATATGTTAAAGGGTGCGTGGAGTGGCTGCGGATGGGAACAGTGGGGCTTTAGATCAAGCACAGGAAACCGAGGAGAGTATGAAATGATACAAGGATGGATGATACAGACAAATAGAGTCATGTGCCACCTAACAATGCTTCAGTCAACGAGGGGCTGCATTCATGACAGTGGCCCCTTAACATCGTAACTGAACTCCCTGCTGCCTGGGGATGCTGTAGGCATCATGAAAACCTAGCCCAGGGCATCGCTCACGTGCTGCTGTGAACGGAGCGCCTGTGCTGCCGGCCGTATAAAAGCATGCACACACGATTCCCACCGGAGGTGACGCCCTCTAGGTTTGTGAGCCTACACTCCATGACCACATGACAAAATCGCCCCCGCACACGTTTCTCACAACATCCCCCACTCTAAGTGGAGCCTCACTGTACACATACCTTGTGCTGTCACTGAGGAAATCAAAGGACACGAGGAACGTGCCGCTGGCGACAGCATGGCTAAAAAGATAGTCACAGAAGCACATAGGGGGTGCAAGACTGACGTGGGGTGGGGGGGGAGGGCACCTAGACTTTTCAGGTTTAATTTAGGATAGACTGGAGTTCTCTTCTGGCACGGTTGTAATATTACGTGACTCTGGTCCAGGGTCGGCTGCAGCCTGAAAGCTCGGGGGAATGCTCTGCTGAGGTCTGGTGTCCACTTGCACTTGGGCGTCCGCAGGCGCCTTGCACGCATGCGCACTGGATGTGCCCGTGCATTTTTCTCGGGAGAGTATCCTTTATTCTCATTAGTTAGCAAACGCGCCCCTGCCCAGATAAAAGGTGTCTCTCCTCAATTATAAGAGTATAATTGCTTAGATGCAAATTAACAGGGTAAGAAGAACTGAGTGGGTGGGAGTGTGGTCTTGTAGTAATAGGGGGAATCCAAAGCATTCCACTGCTGAAATCCTTTATATCTGAATATATAATTCAATGCAAAGTATTGTAATGTATTTGAAATCAAGAGCTTAACTCCTTTGCTAAATCCCTAAAGGTTCATGCATGGCCTTTATATTTTAAAGATTCAAACTAAATGGAACAAGATGCACATTTTCTTCGATTAGGAATACACTTTGTGTTTTAAGTGCCAGATAGTAGGCATTTAATTTCTTGAACAAATTCACAGAATTTAGGAGACAGGGTATTGTTAAAAAGTAAAGCCAAATGAGATCATTATCAGAACACAGCAAAAATATAATTAAATCTGCACAAGCATGCCTGCTTTTGTCATGCTAATTCTTGCAAAACCACAAGAGTTGGACAAATTGTGTTAAGTATGAGCCAGTTTCTAGAAAATGGAGTAGAACAATTTATTGCTTTTATGTCTTGTAATTATGAATGTAAATGTAAATTGCAATTCATTAACACACTTCTGTAAATAAATAATAGAATGGCTCAAATGCCTAGTTAATTAACTGTTATTCTAATTAATGGCCTTTATATCAAACATTATTTCCCAGTATTGTTTTTAGTGCAATAATATGTCAAGTATAATGTCTAGAATTGGCCATTATTTTCAGAAAATTCAATCCAATTGATGCGTTATCTAAAAGATCAAACTAACATATTCTTTAGGTTTACTCTGAAATCGTCTAAAAATCTTTAATACTATGTGATTGAACAATGATGAGAAAATCAAAATACAGTATATGTGTTAGGGAAAATGTAATCTATCACCTGATGTGGTTGGTATATGCATTTGTGAATATTTCCTTAATGCTTTCAGTTTTAAAAATCAGATTACATGCTGTGAAAAAAATTAAATTATTTCATTAAACATTGTTAAAAATTTTTAAATAGCTCAGTTATGATTTCCTAAAATAAATACTAATCTTATTGTATTTCTGACATTTTTCTAATATAGAAAAAAATAGATTTTTAAAATTATGTTTAGATTTTTTTTCCCAAAAATGTTAGCAAAAAGCACAAATTGTAAATTAAAATTAACTGAAAGATCAATATTCTGGCTAAAACAAACCATCTTCAAATGATGATTTAGTCCGTGTAGTTTACTTAAGAGCAATGAGATGAGGCTCCTTAAATCTTGTACTTTTTGTTTTCTGCTGTCATTCTTTTTTCTCTCTTTGCTTTTCAGTTTCATTAATTTCTAAAAACTTATCTTTAGTTCATTCATGTTTCTTTCCTTATTTGTCCAGTGTAATGTGAAGCCAATTAAGTAAAATCTTAATTTCTGGTATATATGTATTTATAATTTGTCTTTTTAAAATTCCCCATCTGTTTGTTTATGTTGTCTAACTTTTCTACTAGATATTTTCACACAGTCATTGTCATTGCTTTAAATTTACTGGCTGGTGATTTCCATCTCTTACTCATCTGGGTCTGCCTCCGCTGTCTGTTTCCTGTCTTGCTCATTGGGTTTACTTTTTCTTGCCTCTTCACACTGTGTGAAAAAAATAATAAATAAGATTTCCTCTAAAAATAAACAGACCCCTTCCTCTGTTAGGCTTTTGTTATGTGTCTCTAAGTCTAACTTGGAATTGAGGTAGACATGTGCTTCCTTGAAAATTAACTTGATTTACTGACTTACGGCTTAAAACAATTGGAAGGCAGCATCGGCACTAGGACCTTCCTCTGAGGAGGGTTTAGGGTCTGGCCCAGAGTGAGACTCAGGTGGTTACACAGCCTTTACAATGCCACTGCCAGCTTTCCGGAACCATGGGGAATCTCTTTCCGCTGCAAGGTTTGATTACCAATCTCTGGAGATCCTGCGGAATTACATTTGCTTCCCAGCCTTGCTCTGGCTTTCTATGCACTAGGAGATCACTTTCCTCCTTGCTGCCTTGTCCCCAGCCTTTGGAAGGTCAACAACGCCTGGTACTTGGCAAAAGCCTTGCATGTCTCAGAGGCATCTTTTCCAGCTTTTCTTCCCATCTTGCCCTCTGTACTAAATGAAAGCCAGAAGTGCCTTGGGCGATTTCTCTCAGCTCTGTTGCCCTGCTCAGACTTTTCGTGAATACAGCCTTGACCTTGGGGAAACCCCGCGCTATTTTACTCGGTGATGCTGTTCACGTCTTGCCTCCCATTTGTGATCCCCATGTACTCAGTGAAAG